CATACCCCGACTGTATCGAAAAATTAATTCAAACAGTGCACAATTTACGTGAGATCGCAAAATCGAATTTGGAAAAAGAAAAACACAGACAAAAACATTATTACGATAGGAAAATTCGACCAATAAATTACGCAACAGGCGAAAAAGTTATGTTATTAAATCCGCCCAGAAGAAGCAAATTTGAAAAAGAATACACTGGACCCTATACTATAGTTCGAAACATAGAACCAAATAACATAGAATTGGCAATAGGACCCAATAAAAAGAGAATCGTTCACAAAGGTAGACTGAAGAGGGCCTACCTGCCAATCAATGTCATATCTGTAACAATGTCATCAAACATGAAAATCGATGCAAAAATCCATAAAGTTCATGAACACACGCATGCGCACTTACGAAATACCAAAAAACCGTTGAAACAGCAAGTGGTAGCACTCCAAAAAGAACGCTACAAGCCACCAAGCGAAACGGAGCAGACATCCTAATAAGCAAAAGTGAGCCCACCAAAGAAGGAAAAGGAAAAACATTTAGAAGAAAAAAGAAGAAAAATAAAAAGAGTAAGCATTAAATAATTAAAATTCGGAAAAATAAATATTAAATATCGTAATAATTTATAGAAAAAGAAAAATGCGTGCACCAACTGCAATTGTCGATGCTCTTTGCATAATGGACTGCACACCTGCATTCTAGCACTTCTACACCCCACGATCAGGAAGATTGTGCTTCCACTGTGCGAGGCGAGTCCGCCCAGAAACACGAAGACAGTGGATGCATGTGGGAACACACCACTTTGTTATAAAGGAATATGGAATCGAACAGACACGTTGCATATCCTGCAATTGGAAATATGCAGACTTCCAGCCGGTCATTGCATGTAACTCATGCTAAATATCAATGAGAAACATGGATCAAGACGACAAGGACGCGTTTTCCGAAGGAGCATTGCTTCCATCTGGGGAACCAGAGATAATTTACCTTCAAGAACTGTTCCAAGAATAAAAATATTTAATAAGAATGTAATAAAAAAAAAAAAGTAATATATATAATTAAAGTAAAGCGTTTTTATTAAACGAACCCTTGACGCCATTTTGGTCTTTCCTGGAAGAGGAAAGACAGAGAGAGAGAGAGATAAAAAGAGAAAGAAGGCGTAAAGCGCCACCTAAAAGAACGCCATATTTGTTTTCAAAATCTTAACTGATCTCAACTCTGGTTCAACAAGCGGGCAATAGACAACAGCTAAAATGTTTAAGGAAAGCCCTTAAACGACTCAAAGAGGTATAATTACATTTTCCTTTATTCCATAACCTTACTAATTATTCCCAATATCTTCCAAAAGGCTCTAATACAACCCGAAGAAAAACAGATAGCAACACCATGGAGGTTAACCCTCATTGAAGTTCCGGAGCCAGACTGACAAGTGTTTAAAAAATTAAACAAGACGAATCCAAGAAGGAAACACGCAAAAATACTAAGATTATTCGGAAAATTGGCCGCATCCCCCAGGAACGACAAGCAAAAATGCCAATCTTACATCTGCTACCAACGAAGATCTGAACGAGACAAGAGACTAACACAGGGGGAAGGCTGTAACATTTCACAGGACGAAGAATAAAGGAAGATTGAAGAACAATTTTTTCTTCATTTTATTTTTTCATAATTAACTTTGTAACAATTCATTCATTTAGTTTTGTATTATTAGAATCTACTACTATGATAATTACATTCATATTTAATAGTTAAAAGATTCTTGTATTTATTATTAGTTATGTTTAACAAAAAAATTACTCATTAAAATAGATCGATAATTGTCGCGTCGATAACATGACTGCGTCGATAAGAGATCTACATAGAGCGCGCGTTAGTAGAGAGAGACAGCAACAGCGCCGTAGAGAGAGATAGTGATACACGCGAAGTCACGTACGCACAGGTCAAAGTTCAAAAACTTCCGGTAGCGAAAGTACGTAGAAAAAAAACTGCTACGTCAGCAGATCCCAGGTATAAATACAGACATGCCGAGCAGCGCGAGCTCACTTCAATTTCGATCGTAGTCCGACACGAATCTATGATACGATTATCACATAGAATCCTGTAGCAAGATTCTTTTGTCGGCAAAGCGGCGAAGATTCCACGACAGACCCGGAGCGCTCGACCACCGGTTCGCAGCGGTTCTCTCACATGTCTGGTTCGCAACCAAGCTTAAGGGGGTAGACACGGGTAATGCAGCGAGGTGACATTACCGGCAAAAACGGGCCTAAACAGGGGTTTACGGGAATACACCTTTCGTCCTTATATGAGAACATTTAGGGCTGGGTGAGGGCTCATTCGAAAGAGGAAGGTCCAATGCAGAGCGGTCTTGTCATGGTTCAATGCGATTGTGTTGATATCTAATAATATGAGTGTCCAAAGAAGAGGAAAAATCGACAAAATACATCCGCAGATTCCAAGTATTTTTTAGGTCACTAAAACAGTTCTGTGACTCAAACGGTAACCAGAACGCCCTGCATTGAACCTTCCTCTTTCGAATGAACCCTTATTTAGATCGAAATCTTCTCATATAAGGACGAAAAGTGTATTCCCGTAAAAGCATTCCCACACACGAGTTCCGCCATTATCTGGATAATACAGAGCAAGTCACGTGACAAATTTAGTTCAGCTAGAGGTTAGGAGAGGGCGCCTACTCAGGAGGACTGCCAACGAGGAATCATAGGAAAACCGAAGCGTTAGCTTGATACATGTCACAGTAAAAGCGTGATGCAGGCAATGTATCCACTTCTGTACGATTGTAGGTTAGGTTATATGTATGTTAGGGACGGCTTATTTTAAAGGTCATCGGTTACTTGAAATCACTGTCGAATTTTTATTCTAATTATATGGCAATATTATTTAATAAAAAGAAACAGATTACAATTTTTTTTACTAATACTGGTAGTATTGATTTACTAATATATTTTCAAAGTATGGAAGTTACAGCAATTATTTTAAATTATTCCTCGTACTATTATTATTTTTTATTCTACCGACTATTGTATAAAACATATAGTAAGCGTATATGTATGTATATAAATATGCGTATGTATGTATGCTTTTTAAAAGTGAAAAGTTTAAACTCAAAAGAAGGATGGGTTGAAGAACGATAAAATACACTTTATTCTTTATTTTTATTATATTTGATTAAAATTGAAAGTTGCCTGGGTCATGCAAGCTCCTTTTCCTCCTCTTCCTTCTCTTCCTCCTCTTCCTCCTCTTCCGTCTCTTCCTCTTCCTCCTCCTGGCTCATATTTTAATATTTTTATCCGACTTCGAAAAGGAGGAGGATACTCAATTCGATGTGTATGTTTTTTTTTTTGTTTTTTTTTTATGTATGTTCACCGATTACGCCGAGACGGATGGACCAATCGGAACGAAATCTTTTGAGTCTGGTAGAGTATGTATCCCGATTGGTACCGTTAAAAAAGCATTTTGCATTTTTTCATTCCTGACGATTTTTATTGCAAAAATCGTACTATTTAATATACGTTCGGCGTACGTTTGCCGATTACTCCGAGACGTATGGACCAATCGGAACGAAACTTTTTGCATCTTGTAGAGTATTTCTCCCACTTGGTGCCGTCAAAAGATATTTTTCATATTTGCATTGCTAACGATTTTTTTGCAAAGAACGTAATGCTTGATTTACATTTTTCACCGATTACCGCGAGACGGATGGACCAATCGGATCCACAATTTTGCATCTTGTAGAGTATATCTCACGATTGGTCCCGCAAAAAATTTTTGTATTTTTTCATTCCTAAGGACATTATATCGCAAAAAAAGTAATACTTCATTTCTATCTTCCGGCGTTTATGCTGCAGGGAATGTACCGATTGCGATGAAACCTTTCACATTTAATAGGAGGTATATCCGCGATGATCTCACTTGCAAAAATTTATGGAATTTGTTAATAACTACTATTACAGAAAAAATCTGTTCCTTCATGTTACTCTGCATTCGCAATGAAACCTTTCATATTTAATACGATATACAGGGTGTCACGCGACAGCCGAAGAGGGATGATTGCTAAGGTGATTCTAAACAAGTTTTTCCTTTTCCAAAATGTTGGTTAACGCTTCGTTCTCGAGTTAATAACAAAAAACACCGACCAATCCGAGCACGTATAGCGCGCAGTCCCAGGGACTGCAGTGTCGGGTACGAAAACCGAGCCTGACGTAGGTCGCGAACGAACGGCTTGGCATCCCGTTGGCATAGCACAATTAAAAAACTGAACTGGTATTCTTTCCAACACGTGGTGGATGATTCACTCGCGTCCCTAGTAGCACAAAAACATTGGTTAAATGTTTTTTTTTAATATTGAAAAAATATTTTTTAAGCCACACTTTTTAACATGAAAAAAATATTGGATTTGAATATTGTACACATGTATAAGAAATGTAAAATAAATGTTTAGAAAACATAAACTAAATATTCATAGGATATAAAATAGATATTTAAAAAATGTGAGAGTAATATTTGAAAAATATGAATTGAATATTTAAATAATATTAAATAGATATTTCAAATCTAAAAAAAAATTTAAAAATAAGATTAAAACGTTTTAAATTGCACGCGCGTTGTCTGAGATCACACTCTTATGCGTTATTGTACATTACTAATCTGTCTTAAACAATTACTCGACCTCAGAAATTTTTATTAGTATTGACCGGATTCGATCTCGGGACTTACCGATTACTGGATAACGTACTCTCTCAATCAGCCATATAGATTTGTTGTTATGAGTATTACTTTTTAAGCTTATAAAGGATTCAAATCATATCAAACATGATATAATTAATTTGAACAGATAAAATTTGATTAGAAAAATAATATTTTAACTGAAAATAAAAATCCTTTTTTCTAATGAAGCATAGTACATTATATTTTATTGGATACATTTTGTATACATTTTTGTATTGTATACATTGTAAACATTTTTTAAATAGATTATTTTAATCTTGACTGGGCTGTCGCCAAAAATAAAGATATTGTTTGTTTGATTTCCACATTCGTAATGGACGCTTGTCTTCTTCTTGTTGCTACTGTGAAATAAAAAATAAAATCAGTTATATATTATATATATTATAACCAAACGTAAAAATGATAAGTACTTACCAGTTACAGCATCATATAATTTTAAATTAATAAAAGATAATTTTTTTTTTCTTCCCTGTCCCGAAAAAAAGGTCGCTGCTTCGTTCGTCATTAATTTGTGAAGCATGTTGTATATTATTTTTTTGTTTGTTTCTCTGCCAACTAAATATAGTAATTGTACCTGAAAAGCATGCCATTATTTATTTGATGAAAATTAAAAGACGTCATTATTGTAAAAATGCAGCACCATAATTTTATCGATATAGATTTTGAGGAATACAACCCAGTAAGTTAAACTTTTCAGAACTTTCTGAGATCATAGTATCGAAATTATTCATTTCGGTAACAGATGCCAGTGGCAACTGGTCTAAAAAAGACTTTTCACCATCCACAATTCCAGAATTACTTCCAGTAACTGCTACGTTATTTAGCAATCTTTCGATACATTCTAATTTGTTAAAAATTTGTTTAATGTCATATTTTAGTTCAATATATTGACGATTTAACAATGCCAATGGTTCTTCGTTTAACGTTATATTATTTGTATCTGTACAACGATATAAAATATTATTATTATTATTATTATTATTATTATTATTTCGTTTATGTGCATTAATATTTATTATTATATATTTAATTTATTATGATTTTTTTACGTGTATAGTAAGATTTAACATAAGTGGCATTTTTTTCTACTTACTTGGTGCTTTTGTATTAGCTTGTTGATTTTCTGAGCTTTCACTCGCAGAATCGGAATCGGACAGAATTGCAGGTAGCTTTTGTATAATACGATATGCTCTTTTGGATGACATCTAAAAATTTTAGGGATTAATCCTATACCAATAAGAGTGTTTTGGAACAGAAGAAGTGTATATGTGTGTACGTGTACTTAACGTTCAAGAAGACAAAGTAATTAATAATAATAACTGATAAATTAATGACTAATAATAAAATACTAACTAATTAATTACATAAATGGAGCAGTTCATATGCTACAAAGTACGAGTGGCATTTAACTATAAATGCTTTATGCGCAATTTCATTCAGACCAAATGAAATAATTTCATTAGTGAAATTATTAAATTTAAATATTCCTATCATTTTGGATTCGACAGGGTATTTGTAAAATGCTTCTAATTTTGTTGATAATTTACCAACTATTTTATTTTCTAATATGTCTGTGATTTGCAGGACATAATCATTCTTTACAAAAATGTAACAATCACGAAACCCATAAGCTTTTAAATTAAAATAAGGAAGTTGTACTTTTTTTTTATTATTTTGTACTTTAACAATTATTTCGCTAACATTTTTTATGATTGTAGGTGCTCCATTTTCCGATAACCTTTTTGTTATTTGTGCCAAAGGTTTATTCCATCTACGTAGCATGCTTATTAGCTTTCTCAAGTAATTTTCAAAAGGGAAGCAACTTAATTCCTCCAAAGAATATTTCAAATTTTCGACATCGTCTGTAATGTGCACTAAATTATGAACATTATATATACAAAATTCTCTACCATACAAAGCAGAAGAATTATTTACAAATAAAAATAGCATTTCTCGAGCTTTGTTTAGCCACTCTACGTTCAAACGTAATTTATTATGTAGCAAAATTCTAATAGCTGCGTGAAATAATAAAAAATGCTTATAATACTCATTTGGAAGAACTCCCTTCGAAAGAATTGGCCCCAAATACAAGAGAAATAAACAAAACTCCGTAGCTTTGTATCTAGGTAGTTCCGATATGGGTCGTGATTTACGATTAAATTCACTTGGTAAATATTTTGCAGCAGAAACCATCCTTTTGGACAATTTGTTTCTCTGTTGTAATCTGAACTCTATCTTACACCAATGACCAAGTAATTTCTTCATGACTCCTAAACAGCATAAATGCATATAATCTAAAGCAAAATGTTTTATTATATCTAATTTAGTTATATTTAATAAAGGTATCCTTTCATCGTTTTGATGGTGATTCATGTCGCGGAAATTTTCAAAATCAAAATGTGACCGAGCATTAGCATTATGGTTTTCATAGATAATTCGTTTTTTATAATATGTACCCTCTTCTGTACATCTTTCACAGCTATTGCGACCTGTATGTCTCTTAATATTTTTTAAAAATGCTCTTGCAGGTGCATCACACGTAAAACATATAACATCTACTTTAAAATAAGTATTATTGTAAAATAATCCATGCTCTAAAATATCATTTAATTCACGTATAAAATCATTTAAGTAATCAACCAAGGAATTCGGTTTTGCATTACCATAATATATTGCTATCGGAAAAGGAGACACCGTATAATTGTTTAATATTAATTTGCATAAAATGGGCCAAAACTGTTTGTTCGAACTTTTTGAAATCGGAATGCCATCGATATTAAAAATTAATCGAAAAATAAGTGTTTCTTTGAGTTCAGTAAATACATTTTCATTTTGTAGCAACGTTAATAGACACTCTTTTATACCAAAATATGTGTACTGAGCTATTGTTTTCGTTTTGCTTAAGACTGACACAATATTTGATGCTCGTTTAGTTTTTAATAGAGTGCGAGCATCGCGTGGAAGTTCATATTCTGGAAAAATATCCTTCAAACCCGTTAATAAATTACCCAGTTGAGAGTGATTAATTTTATTTTCGACGGACCATGATTTTAAAAAACTAAGTAATTTTAAATTCGTCAGATCGGTAGGTTGATTATTTGCAGTAATATAATTTGTTTCTATATTTTGTTTATTTATAATCTGAAGATCAAATGATTGATTTAGATTGAAATTAGGTATAGGATTGGCGATTGCTGGTGAATTAGTTGGCATAATTTTAGATTCCTCTATTGTGTCTAGACTCCGATTCTGGATAGAAGCTATTTGATTCCTTATAAATTTATATGTTTTATAACGTTTCTCAGACATTTTTAAAATTTGTGTAACTGTAAATTGAATGTTATACGGGAAACTTTAAGAGCATGAAATAAAAATAGGTATTACATACATAAATGTACTTACCTTCTCTGCAGGTAATAAAATGAATGTTTTAATAACAATATATTATTTTTCTGTATCCTCACTGTCTCACAGCACGTTGTAAATTGGCGTCGGTAACAATGCACAATCGTAAATTATTGCCTTGTTGCTAACCAACGTAAACGATCGATTATCAATTATTATTACGTCACGCAGTGATGTGAAAAGAGAGTAGAAACAAATATTTCATGTCTAATATAAATTAAATATTTTTTGTACATTCGAAAAAAAAATATATTTTTTCTAATATTAAATGAATATTTATTTTTCACAAAGAAAACAATATTCTGTTTCCAATATTAAATTAATATTTATTTTATATTAGGAAATAATTATTTTTCCGTGACATAAAATAAATATTTTATAAATATTCGAAAAAAAATATGTCTTTCTGAATCTAGAATAAATATTTTATAAATATTCCAAAAAAAATATATCTTTCCGAATCTAGAATAAATATATTATAAATATTTGAAAAAAAATATGTCTTTCTGAATCTAGAATAAATATTGCATGTATATTTAAATATGAAAAAGAGATTCAATCTGTTTTTAATATTGGATAAATATGTATTCAATATTTTGTGCTACTAGGGGTCTCTTTTTGAAGACGAACTCCATGATCGTTCCCGAGACGAACTGGGTATCCGTCTTCGAGACAGACTTCGCGTCAGTGATGCCAGAACCGTGGGACGTGGGACAAATCTTTACCCTCTCCACGACGTCCCACGACGTCCCAGTGACTCCCCTACCGCAGTTGTTTCATCTAACACAAGCGCGTTGTCCCACGTGTCCGTGTGAGCTCTCTGCGGGTTTGGCAGAGTTCGGCTGCTCTCGTCATTTCTACGTTATCGGCTCGATGCTCAAGCCGCTAAAGCACGTGGCAGCAGCATCGACGAATCGACAAAATAATATAATTTCGTGCATGGCAATATGGCTGAATTAAGAAACCAGGAGAATCAGTTCGAATCCCGATTTTACGGTTTCAGTTCTGATTCTTAATACATTAACGTTTTTCTAATACATAAAAATACATTTTTGATACATTAATACTATGAAATACATTAACTTGGAAAGCAGTTTAAAAAAGGAGTTGAACTGCATCTTTCTTTGACATTTTTTTTAATATTTAAGTTTTATATATATACATATGTATGTACGTACATATGATAAAAGTACGTGATACAGAAGTAATTTCTTCAATTAGATATTACTGTTATTCTAACTATTACAATACGTAAATTCGAAGACATACGAGGAAAATTGGTTAGGTTAAATTGTAAGGATATAAAGAAATTTCAATCTTTAACGGTTTGTCAGTTTTATTTCTTATTCCTTACAACTATTATAATTTTATTCTCTGAATGGTCATTACAATGAAAGATGGATTAGATACAATTTGATTCCTCATTTAATTTGTTATATACATATCAGGTTTCTTGCAACTGTTGCACCTGGTCCACGCTTACACGATATTGCATATTTTACTTTCCTATAATACAACAAGGAAACAAAATTATAATATAATGATTACCATAATACAATAGAAAATGTTAAGCTTGGTATAAACCTTCTTTTTTTTGTGTACTTAATCTGCAGTTACGCTTCGTTGCTTTATAATGACTGATTTTTCTTTTGAATGAAACTTCCACTAGCGTATTGATGAAATTTTTCGATTAAAACAAGATCAAACACGACGTAATTTGAATTATAGTTACTTTATATATTTGCATTAGGTTTTAAATAAATAAGTAAATATAATGCAAATTATGTCGTGTTTGGTCTTATTTTGATCAGAAGAACCTTCCAATTACATTGGTAAAAGTTTCATTTAGCAAAAATGAAAAATAAAAAAGTTATGGTTAAATTAATATTGTCTCACTCAAATGTTTTTTCTCGGGCCCTTTAATTCTCGGACCTCCATCTCTTTCGCTATTTGTCTTTTTCTACGTTCGCCAGCATTCAAGAACTCGCTCGAGCTGTGTCGTTCTGCCAGCCTCGCACACTTTTAGGAGAATCGGGAAAATCCAGCATAATAATACGTTCTATGCTGAAAGAATATACTAACTTATCTGTTTAATAAAATTTTAATAAATCTGGCAATAGATTTATTTTCTGACTGTTTTTCTTAAGTAATCAGAATTTCACCATTCTCCTGTACAGATCGTGTGTAGCAGTTTGTAGCAAACTCAACATGTTTTCGATATTATGTCTAATACACAACCAATCGAAAAATATTAAAAATCCAGGATATTTTGTGCCGTTTTTTATATGTCAAGGGCCATCGAAATGAAATAAATGATCAACAATGAATATTATAATAAAGGTGATCGCTGTTCATCTATTTCCTTTCTACGATGTATTTCTTCCACAAGAGACGGTTTCCTAACAATTTACAGTACAGTAAAATCTGGGTACATATAATGCAAGACGTCCGATCAAACTTCGACACCTCGCTCGGATATGCATATGCAATGTTTTGATTCGATCTCTCTGACTTTTCGTCTACTTTTAACATCAATTTTAGCAAGTAATTACAATTCAAAGTATATCGTGTTTGGTATCATTTTAATCAGATAAATCTGGCCAATACGCCAGTAAAAATTTCATTTAAAAAAAGTCAAAAATAAAAATGTTTTATAACTGAATTAGTATTAGTCACACCGATATGTTTCGGCTCTTTCGTTTGATCATTTGACCTCTCTCTCTCCTCCACTGCCTGTCGCTTTCTACGTTCACGCTTGGCTGGCGTCGCGCGTAACCCCAGATTCGACACCTCGCTTGGATCCCATCTCTCTTGCATATGTATATCCAGATTTTACTGTACTGTAAATTGTTAGGAAACCGTCTCTTGCGGAAGAAATACAGGATTGCCTTGAAATAAGCAAGTGGTCTCTGCTTCGAAATAAGCAACTGTTAGGTCTCGAGCCACTTGCTTATTTCGAGGCAATCCTGTACATCGTAGAAAGGAAATAGATGAACAGCGATCACATATATTATACTATTCATTGTTGGTCATTTATTTCATTTCGATGGCCCTTGACATACAAAAAGCGGCACAAAATATCCTGGATTTTTAATATTTGTCGATCGGTTGTGTATTCTACATAATATCGAAAATATGTTGAGTTTGCTACAAACTGCTACACACGATCTGTACAGGAGAATGGTGAAATTCTGATTACTTAAGAAAAACAGTCAGAAAATAAATCTATTGCCAGATTTATTAAAATTTTATTAAACAGATAAGTTAGTATATTCTTTCAGCATAGAACGTGTTATTATGCTGGATTTTCCCGATTCTCCTAAAAGTGTGCGAGGCTGGCAGAACAACACAGCTCGAGCGAGTTCTTGAATGCTGGCGAACGTAGAAAAAGACAAATAGCGAAAGAGAAAGAGGTCCGAGAATTAAAGGGCCCGAGAAAAAACATTTAAGTGAGACAATATTAATTTAACCATAACTTTTTTATTTTTCATTTTTGCTAAATGAAACTTTTACCAATGTAATTGGAAGGTTCTTCTGATTAAAATAAGACCAAACACGACATAATTTGCATTATATTTACTTATTTATTTAAAACCTAATGCAAATATATAAAGTAACTATAATTCAAATTATGTCGTGTTTCATCTTGTTTTAATCGAAAAATTTCATCAATACGCTAGTGGAAGTTTCATTTAAAAGAAAAATCTGTCATTATAAAGCAACGAAGCGTAACTGCAGATTAAGTACACAAAAAAAACAAGGTTTATACCAAGCTTAACATTTTCTATTGTATTATGGTAATCACTATATTATAGTTTTGTTTCCTTGTTGTATTATAGGAAAGTAAAATATGCAATATCGTGTAAGCGTGGACCAGGTACAATAGTTGCAAGAAACCTGATATGTATATAACAAATTAAATGAGGAATCAAATTGTATCTAATCCATCTTTCATTGTAATGACCATTCAGAGAATAAAATTATAATAGTTGTAAGGAATAAGAAATAAAACTGACAAACCGTTAAAGATTGAAATTTCTTTATATCCTTACAATTTAACCTAACCAATTTTCCTCGTATGTCTTCGAATTTACGTATTGTAATAGTTAGAATAACAGTAATATCTAATTGAAGAAATTACTTCTGTATCACGTACTTTTATCATATGTACGTACATACACATGTATATATATAAAACTTAAATATTAAAAAAAATATCAAAGAAAGATGCAGTTCAACTCCTTTTTTAAACTGCTTTCCAAGTTAATGTATTTCATAGTATTAATGTATCAAAAATGTATTTTTATGTATTAGAAAAACGTTAATGTATTAAGAATCAGAACTGAAACCGTAAAATCGGGATTCGAACTAATTCTCCTGGTTTCTTAATTCAGCCATATTGCCATGCACGAAATTATATTATTTTGTCGATTCGTCGATGCTGCTGCCACGTGCTTTAGCGGCTTGAGCATCGAGCCGATAACGTAGAAATGACGAGAGCAGCCGAACTCTGCCAAACCCGCAGAGAGCTCACACGGACACGTGGGACAACGCGCTTGTGTTAGATGAAACAACTGCGGTAGGGGAGTCACTGGGACGTCGTGGGACGTCGTGGAGAGGGTAAAGATTTGTCCCACGTCCCACGGTTCTGGCATCACTGCTTCGCGTCCCTCTTCGGGACGGTGTTCGTGTCCCTCTTCGGGACGGACTTCGCGTCCCTCTTCGGGACGGTGTTCCTGTCCCTTTTCGGGACGGAGTCCGCTTCTTCTCTACCCTCGACGACGTCCCGGCAGTCGGTATGCTTTCCCTGTTACTCATCTAAAAACACGTCAAAGAAATAATGAAACTATAAAATGGATTTGAAATTGTAAGTACAAGAGTATACGTTTATCAAGGTTGTACATTCGGGTATAATATAGGCTGCCTTCGGCCAAGATTTACCGCAAGAGGGGAATGTTCACATTTATAAACGCTGGAATTTCCAAGTTCAAAGGCTTTGAAATGCAAACATTTCCAAAATTTGTAATTGTTACATTATCACATTTCAAAATATCTGTATTTTCAAATGCCTAACTTTTGTGATTTTAAAATTGAACTACATTTCAACTAAAGGAGACCTATATTGCACCCGAATGTATATATTTTTTCTAGACATTTCGCAGGTGAATTATAAAATAACTTTATTATTCTAC